ATCTTCCTTTACTTCGGAAGCCATGGAAGCTGAGGAAGAAGCTGAAAGCTTGGGGCTTCTCTTGAGCTGAAGATCTGAGGCTGCAAAGCAAAAGGATAATGAATACTACAATCAATTACAAAAGATTCCTCACCAGGAATCCAGATTTGTTTTGGTGATAGTTTATTATAGAGGGACCCCTCTTTGTTTGAGGGGGGGGGGACCCCCCCTTTACTAATCAGGATCCAACATTACCCATGTTTCGGCTCCTCCATTTCCACGTGGCCACCGAGGTGCACCGCAATGAGCGGCAACCCCGGAGGCAATACCAGACCGCGTCTGGTTTGTCGAGGGCCATTTTGGATAACCCCGACAAGGTACCGATATTTGCTCCATAGCCAGAAGCAAGTCAAACAATTCCAAAACTTCCGGCCCAACGGCGTCGAGGCGACAGAAGTCCGTAGACGCCCGGCGTCGGGGTCTGTGACAGATGCCCTAGGTATGTGGCAGCGCCCCTATGTGCTTCGGTTCCACCTTACACTTGCTTAGCTACACGAGGTGCACGTATCTATAAACGAAAAACCTGGATCAAACAAGTTCCCAGCTACCCACCTTGCCTTTTAGATTCGTGAGCGCGCTACATGCACTCTCGAACTCGAGGGCAGTCTTCTCGAACACCTCCCTCCTGCCACTCGGAGATCACAGTGTGCCTTTCAGGGATGGACGTGCCGCAGCTGGCGTCGGCACACTTAGCTTCCGGGAATGCAGGTAGGCAACGCACGAAAAGAGTTCCAGTCGAGAATCAGAGGAACCTTTTTCTTCACAAAAGCTTCTTTTGCGCTGTGCAGATTGGCGTGCCGTCGGCGTCCCAAGGCGCAACCTGAGAACCTCTTGGAGAAGACCCAAGGTGCACCCAGCTAATCTCAATTTAGAAGCACGGGTGTACCCGTGTCACATCCCTTTCCGCTGCAGAAGCAGTCCCTTTGTTTTCTTTCCGATCTTGTGGAGCATGTCCGTGTGCTTGGGTTTTTAGTACCTGCTGAATTGTGCTTGGCTGCGAATATCGCACCGTTCGATTTGTTGCACGTGCGTCGAGCAGGACCTACGCGGGAAGGCCGACTTGCGGAAGAACGATGCACCCCGGCGCAGGCAGCGCCTGCGTCGTTTGAGTTCTCCGGTTCTCAAAGCACGGCGGACTGCTTGGACCTCCCCCCCAAGCAAAAAAACAAACTGCACCAGGACGTGGAAAAGCAGCCTGCTTGTAGAGGAAAATTGTCATCCAAGGGGCTATGCCATCCAGTTCCGTAAATATTTCAGGGACTGTACTTATTTTTGTTTGGTTTCCTTGTACCTTGTCAAAACAACAATGAATATAACTTTGCGGGCCTCTGGACAGGTCGTCGATGGTTACCGATCCCTTTCCTTCACTTTTGAGACTTAACCCAAGTAATCCAAAGGAACGCACTCCTTCTCTTTGGGGCAGTGCACAAGTAGAACGAAGCATGGGTGGGCGTAGTGGTCCAGCTTCGCGGAGGGACGTTGGGAGGTGAATGGAGCGGTGTTGCGGGGCTTAGGTATGGTCTTGGGTGTCCAAAATGTGCACAATGCCTGCGACAGGCAATGTTGCGTTGAGCACATGGTCGCGTCACAAGCATCATGGTAGGCCGCTCCGGGTCAGTGCACAAGTAGAACGAAGCATGGGCGGGGGTAGTGCTGGTCCATGCTTCGCGGACGTGTGTTCGGTGGTGAGTGGAGCTGTGCTGCGGGGCTGATACGATGGGGTTGGGTGTCCAAAATGTGCACAGTACATGCGCCAGACAGTCAAGGCATGGCCGACACGGGAGGAGCGTTATGTGCCACAAGCGCAACGTGGGAAATTGCACGGTTGGAACGAACCTTGGAGGGGACCGATACTGCTCCAGGCTTCCTGGAACGGTTGTCAGAAGCCATGTTGCAATGTTATTGGAGACTAGCTGCAGATTGAAAACAACCAGTTGATATATATTATATATATACACCTAGAATCCGTTTGACCCTTTTTTTGACAGGAAAGGCCATATTTGAGATAGTTGACCCTCCAAAACAGGGGTCACTCAGGTTCCAAGTATATGATACATCCAAAAGCCAACCCGACGAAAGACGGAACTGCCACGCGCCCAACGCCACACGTGGCCCAAACTGGGGATCCGTCGGAGACCGTGCGGCGCAGAGTCGGACGGAGCCCTAGAAGTACGCCAGGGCTGGGGAGGGAAGATGGAGGGCAGCGAGACGGAGGTGCATGGGTGGAGACGAGGCTGGGGAGGGAAGATGGAGGGGAGCGAGACGGGAGGCGACGGGGCTGGGGATGGAAGATGGAGGTGGGACGGGAGGCGCGTGGGGTCGGGGCTGGGAGGGAAGATGGAG